ATATATATATATATATATATATATATATATATATATATATATATATATATATGTATATGTATGTATGTATGTATATGTATATTTATAAATGTTTTTCAAACTGTTCAAACGTCTTCAAATACATATAAATTGTAAAGTTTGAACTGCTTCAGCACTATATTTCACTTCCGGTTTGGGCCAATTTTCTAAACTTCTCAACCAATCAAAAACCAAGCATGTCAACACCGGCGGGAAATACTTGCCTAATGTTAATCCTTGCCAACAGGTGTAACATAGAAAAATAAAACATTTTCGGGTATGGACATTTGTTTGTTTTTTTTTTTTTTTTTTTTCCTTGAAGGCGATTTAATTATGGGTAGTTACAATGTCATTGGATGGGAGCAATCGCAGAGCCTGGCCTGGAAATTTTAAACCAATGAGGACTCGTATAATTCATCGGCTCCCTGACTTAATTAGATATGTCAATGCACAGCTGCGCGCTCTTGTGTTCACTTCTGACAAAATTCATACACACACATATATGTATCATATATATATATATATATATATATATATATATATATATATATATATATATATATATATATATATATATTGCAATTCCCTTACGTGTAAAGGACAGAGAAAACTGTCTTAGTGTGTGCATCAGCAGAAGTTTCCACATCCTTTAGAATTTGCCTACGCAAAGGACAGGTCATATTGGTCGGAAAACAAGGTTAAAGCGTCCATTTTCTCCTTCTAGGTACCTAATGTATAGGATAGGAGAAAGATGATTTTGTGTCTTTCCCAAGTACATTTGTGATAAGTAAACATAGAGTATCTCAGTTGGAATTGAAGTCGGCTCGCCATTCCGTACTAATCTCGATATATATGACGAAGTGGAAAAAGTTTAATTCTAAGTAAACTTTTTTTCATACAATTTCCCCAATACGGTTCTTGATATATAAAAATATGTATCATATCTCATATATATATATATATATATATATATATATATATATATATATATATATATATATATTGCTGATAAGTTCACGGACCTATGCCTAAAAATCTGATCAAATGAATAAACTCTAGAATTTTATTTGGGTCGGCTTCATAACCGAGATGTGAACTATCTATCTATCTATCTATCTATATATATATATATATATATATATATATATATATGCTGACACAAAAGCACACGCACTCACACGCACAATCTTCAGGTCATGTGCGTTTTCTTTTGACTCGACTATTTATATATGCTTCTCTGTGTTATATATTAGCTACCTGCACGAGTTATCTGCACTCTTGCTTGAAAACCACGGACTGAATATACGATTGAAAATCGTTTTTTTCGCTGAAACACACGTGCACACACACGCACACACACACACACACACATACATATATATATATATATATATATATATATATATATATATATATGCCAACCACTACTGTAATTTCTGAACGAGAGACTGACATCCTTTGAAGCAGCTATTTCACTTTCAGTGTTAATCATCCTCTCCCACAAACCTGGTCTGATCTTATCGCATTATTTATTATTTCCCGAAATGTTGTATTTATGGTAAGCACATGACATTCCAGAGAAGGGCACCCCTTTCGGAAAGATCCCTAACACCCCAAAGTCCCTCAAACCGAGCAATTCAACCCGAACTGAGCGTATACACTATCCCGTTCACATCACTTCAGGCCACACCCAATGTTGATTATCACCAATGAAATTCAACTTCAACTTTTATCTTTTAATTCTCTTTTTTTCAATGTCGTTCGTTTCAATGTCAAAGAAAACTGACATTGCCGCAAAGTTTTATTTCGTTTGCCAACGGTAAAGCATTTTTGTGTGTGTGTGTGTGTGTGTGTGTGTGTGTGTGTGTGTGTGTGTGTGTGTGTGTTTATTCTCGCTCTTGGGCAAAAGATTTCTCCTGTGTGATAATGGTCTACTCTTTACTCGCAGAGGGTGGTCCTCTCGCGACTAGTCGTGGCTGGAAAGCAGATCAAACTATTTTAATGAGTGTAGGTGAATATGACTGATTATTTTACAAGTATACTAAATAAACTAAAGACGAATCCCTTTCTTTTTTTTTTTCTTTTTTTTTGTTCTCATAAACTTGAATTTCTGTGAGCATTTATTTTTGCAAAATAAAAGCGACATTTCTCGTTACCATAATTATTTCATATTTAATACTCGCCATAAAGTTCAGAGGATTCATATAATTAGAATCCTAAATGTTATAGTCTTAATAAAATTAGACACGTAATTGTAACTATCAACACAATAACCACTACAATTAAAAACAATTTATTTAAACTTGATATAAAATTTGTTAAAAATACTTCAGAAACTATTAGTGATTTAATTAACACAAAACTGAATAACAGCCGAAAATCTGGAACAGAAATTTACAATATAGACTGTAAAAAAATGAAACTAGAAATACACAGTTCAAACTCCCGGGAATTTAATTCAAAAACCTCCCCTGTTTGGAACAGGATGTGGCTTCCCTCTGTCTTTTCTACAAATATTCTCATGGCATCTACCCTGACGAGCTATTTTCATTGGTGCCCCAACTGCGTAAATTTAAGCGTGCTACTAGATTGGCATCTCGGTCCCACTATTTTATTGTCGAAACAATTAATGTAACCGCCTTTCTACTCCAACAGCTTCTTTCCTCGCACTTCCCGACAGTGGAACTCCCTTCCTCTTACTTTCTTCCCTGATAATTATAATCTTCAAAAATTAAAATGTCAGGCAACATCTTTTGATGCCTTGATGCCTGTTCTTCATTTTATCCTTCTCCATCCTTCTTTTCATCCTTTCCTCAGCCCTTCCTATGGCCAGTCTTTTTGCTGACTTACACTCTCTGAAGCCTTTTCTGTACTAATGGCACTCCCACCTTGCTTGAAGTGAAATGCTTATATAAAAAGGTAGATGTATATCCCTTTTATTCTGTTTCCGATTGAGTTTCCGATTCCTTCTAAAGTCCACTTCAGCTACATAGTCGCTTGTCCTTCACTACGCTTATATAACTCCACACAGTAAACTACTACATGAAGTGGCGCTCGGGCCTTGTACTGGGTGAACATTAGTAAAAAATAAAAATATAATGAATATATGAACACAAAAGAGATCAATGCATTAGGCGTTCATCTGACTATATATATATATATATATATATATATATATATATATATATATATATATATATATATATATATGCATAGATATATATATGTGTGTATATATTATAACAGCTGGTCAATCGTATTGGAGGATACCGGTCTACTAAGGCAGCTACTCAATCCCTATTGCAGACGCTCGCTCCGGCACATTTGTGCTTGCTCAACACCCCCAGAGAGAGCCCACCTGTGGTTTATACTGGAAGTATGCTGAGCGACATAAATTACACTTACTGGGAGAGAGCGTGTTATCTAGCGTGATCAAAAATTTGTTCTAGCACAGCTATCGACGGCCCTCAAGAGTTCCGTCTACCCAATTTCACTCAAAAGGCTTGGGACAACCCTGGCTATGGTTTTCAGAAGTGTCGCACACTGGGATCGAACTCGATCCATTCCGATAACATCAGAAAATCTCCTGACAAATCGATCATGGTCAGATTCGAACCTGGGCATCATATATATATATATATATATATATATATATATATATATATATATATATATATATGTGTTTGTGTGTGTGTGTGTTGTGTTGTGTGTGTGTGTTTGTGTGTGTGTGTGTGTGTATAGATAGATAGATAGATAGATAGATAGATAGATAGATAGATAGATAGCAGCACAGTGGAGTAGTGGCTCGGAGTGCCGAGTTCGAATTCCAGTCGAATCCATTACATTCACTTATGCGTTATTACCCGTGGTAAAGGTATAAATTCTATTCTCCCCCCAGCTATGGTTAAGTAGCAGGACAAACTTTGTTCTATAGCCTTGGATCGCAACTGATCTTGCAGAAGAACAACTCTGAATTCAAAACCTGCGGGGGGTCGTTTAGGCACCTTATGGCAAGTAGGGCACGAGGTTTTCAAAAAGTGTGGTTGCCTCTGCACAAAGCCTTCACCACTATAATCAAATCATATGTGCTAGTGCCTGACTGTCGGTTCCTAAGAATTGAGTTGCTGACCCTCATAATACGTCGAATACGACGGGAGAGCCCACGATGTGTGTGTATATATATATATATATATATATATATATATATATGAACACAAGCACGTAAGTATTATTGACGACCTGAGATTCAGATTTAAAGTAGGCTTTCTGCTGCTTTAATTTTAAATTGTGCCTACATATTTATTCATCTTGGAAAATTTTATTTACGCTTTTCTTTTCTATATGACTTATGCTACCAAAGACATCAGCTTCTACTATCATTATCTAGAGATTGTATTAGCCAGTTTGCATTTGACACACACTGAACAGCAATAATAAACGTATCACTCTCATCGATCGTTTCACCCAACTTGCTTAGCGTCCAGGAAAGCGTTCAAATCTCGCCATTAACGAGACTTAGGCAGACAAATCACGCGTGATTCACAGTTTGCCTCGAATGGGAGGCTATGGCGTATAATATGCTCTGCAGATAAGACATTTTATTCCTAATTGATACTGACGACAAACGGAATTAACTTAGTAAGCGATGAGATGACAAGTTTATATGTCTGGGTTTATAGGCCTCTCACTCGAAATTGTTCTTGGTAGTCGGCGCCGGCAGTAGAAAATCGATATTACTCGAATCTCAGCGAAAGAAAAATCTGTTGTAGATGTATTGTTCTGACGTATAATTTATAGCATCTACATTTATCAGCTAAGCGTATGATATATTTGATACCTTAATACGCTTGGATATTGGAGGTTTTAGAAGTAACGTAGTAATTGCTCGTACAAATGCATCGTTCTACAAAACACACGGTGGACATCATTAATGCCGCGCCTTGAATAAAATTATACCATTTTTACTGACACTTCACGATTTATTATTTTAAAATATTATTTCGATCTAATTTGCAGAGTAATTGATAGATAGAGAATAAGAAAGAATGAAAGGAAGGAAGGAAGGAAGGAAGGAAGGAAGGAAGGAAGGAAGGAAGGAAGGAAGGAAGGATTATTTCAATCAATTTACGTGAGGCATAGAATGAGAAGGAAAAAAAAGAAAGACAGAATGAAAGGAAGAAAAAAAAGGAAACTATTTCCATCCAATTTGCGTAATTATTGATAGATAGACAGAGAATAAAAAAGAAAGAAAAAATGAAAGAAAGATAAGAGAGGCCATTATTATCGCTCTTAAAGAAAATCGGTAATCTAATGCCAAGAACAGAGATATTAAATGATTTTAAATTCGACATAAACAGCTTTGTTTATGAAAAATTCACCCGATACAAGGCTTGAAAAACAAGGTGGCAAGAAGTGAAGATGATGAGGATGAGGAGGATAGGAAACAACTGACCCTTGGCTTGAAGAGATCAAAATTGTTGTCTTTAGGGAATCACCCATGTGGGAGTCTGTTCCACAAATTAACATTTCTTGTGGAAAAAGCTGAGTTGAACTTACTTCTTGCATTTGGAATACGAAAATAAGTGCGAATCAACTGCGTGGAATTGGTATGGCATATACTATCAGTAAAATGTATTACGCTTATTTAGGAATAGCGATCTTATCAAAGGCATGAACCGAGAAAATCCCTTGCTAATTAATTTTTCGCTAAAAACAAAAGAAACCAGATGTAAGTTACAACCGAGAAATATAGACAACTCAAATAAAATCAAATGTGAACTTTATAAAGCATTCTTTTATTGTCCTTTGTCTCCACTAAAGAATTCTCATTCTATTTCGCTCCCAATAACTCCTTGCGTCTTAGTGGTATTATCGCCTTGCTTGGAGTGAAAATCAAATACAATTTCCCTTGAGGCTTCAGTGATTATCTCTGAACATTACAAACTTAATCTCTTCAAGTTATGGGTCAATCTATTCTCATTATCCTCATAATTTACTCTTCATTCTACCTACATTTACATTCATATTCAGTAACCCTCTAACATGAGTCGCTCTTGACCGTTGAAAAAAATAAACATATGCAGCAAAGCAGATACGAGTAGGTGCTCAAAAGTTCTCATCTCAAATTACATCCCAAATTCTGATTTTATGCATATATATATTATTTTTTGAGGGGTTTCTTGGTCTGACCGAGAACTTTTCAGCACAACCTCGAACATATACCTTATTCTCATATGTCACTTTACATAAATTGACCAGTCGCTAATAGTCGATTATATCGTCTGTCACCTCAACTGTTGCATTTAAATTCTTGCAGCTTTAACCTCTGATCTTCCTTACATATTTGTTTCAGATCAGAAAAAAAAATCTTAATGACTGTCCCAGTGAGAGTAAAATTTGAATCTTGTTTTTCGTCAATAATATCATATACAGGAAGACACACACAGACGAACGTGTGTGCATGTATAAGTGTGTATGTTTGTTTAAGGTAAAGTGTATCTGTAAAAGTACAATATGAATAAGGAGAAAAGGAAAATTTACCTTAGCAGACAGAGTTCTCTGAGGGACTTTATCAAGACAAATGCATTTGCCTTGATAAAGTCCCTCAATATATATATATATATATATATATATATATATATATATATAGAGAGAGAGAGAGAGAGAGAGAGAGAAAAGAGAGAGAGAATTTTATTTTAACCCTCTTGTAAAATTTATATAAAGCGAGGCGTATTTGAACCCAAGTAAAATTTATATAAACCGAATATTATTTGAGCCCAAGTTAAGTACATATAAAAAGAGCATTATTCAAACACGCGTGAAATTTATATAAACCGAGTCTTATTTAAACCTAGTCATATTTGAACATCTGTCCAATATATGTGAATGGTGTCTTATATAAACCCTAGTAAATTTATATGCAACAAGTCATAATTGAACCAGAACGAAATTTATATGAATTGAATATTATTTGAATCCGCGTCAAGTTTATATAAACAGAATTTCATTTGAAGCCGAGTCATGTTTATCTAATCCAAATTTTATTCATATAAACCGGATTTTATCTGGACTTTCGATAAAGCTATTATTTGAAAGATGATCAAATTAATATGAACTAAGTCATATTTGAACGCAAGTTTTATATATATATATATATATATATATATATATATATATATATATATATATATATATAAGCACAGTTTTATTTGAACGTTATTGTTAATTTTATATAAATCGAGTCTTATTTGAACCTGAGTCAAATTTATATAAATCGAGTCTTATTTGAACTTTCGGTAAATTTATATAAAGCGACTCACATTTGAACCCCAGTCAAATTTGTAAAAATCGGCTCTTATTTGAACCCTAGTCAAATTTATATAAATCGAGTCTTACTTTAAAGTTTAAGAAAAAGAAATGTATGTTCAAATAACAATGGGTTTATATGAATTTAACACGGCTGAAATAAAACTAGATTTTTATATATTTGACGTGAATTCAAACATTCATTTTATATAAATTTGAATCTGGTTCAATTAATATTTTAGAGCCTGATGAGGAAAATTTTTTAAATCAGTATTTTCAGAAAATCTTGTGTCCTTTCTCAACAAAAAAAAATAAACTGAGACCTTTTTTACACATGTGTAGATGTGGGGGCAAACGGCCTTGCTAGCTTAAAACAATATAGACTAACTCATAAAGGACACTTTATTTTCTTGTCAACTGCTATCTCATACACATCTCCAATAATTGTCACAAGTCTTATAAGATATATACGCATGCACTAGGCAGCGTTTTGTTCAAAAAAGTTTAAAATCCAATTTATTTTCCGTTGAGAAAGGAGAAAAACCTGATTTTTTTTCTCGTTGTGCTTCTGCTGTCTATTGTCCTAATAATAAAATTATTATTATTATTATTATATCTTTTTTGAATTCATCGGCCTATTAGATTTCTAATTTTATTCAAGATGATCTTCGCCCTCTCTAACTTTCTAATTTTCTGTCCTGAAGTAACAAGGTGCCACAAATGTCTCATGTGCGATTACATTTTCAAGTCTTTTCACTGCTCTTTGGACTCTCATAGCTGAAACTCTTCTTTTACGTGCCAAACGACATATAGATTGAGTTGGATTTTTTCTACTTCATCTCTTTAGCTCTAATTTGAAATTGTTGAATGGACTTTGAAGATGGAAGCCAGAGTATGAATGTTGGTACCATTACTATGATATTTTTAAGTAGATGCTCTTTTTTTTAATAAAAACAAATTAATTTTATTTTCAACAGTTCTGTAAAGAACTAAAAACATGTTAAGTTGATCAGTGGAGCAGAGCAGAAATGTAAAATGTATTGACAATTACGTCATACCTAGATTTAAAAGCGGAAATTTATCAGAAATATATTTCTCTGTCCTTTTTCATCGTACATGACAGACTTTCCTTATCGGTCAATTCTATTACTTTATATAACATAAATAACAAAGGCTACTATCAACATAGAGATTTAACACCTTAATGTCCACCGTTCGATTCTGGAGACCGGGAGCAGTAAAAGATTATAGGTAGAAGCCTATAATTAATACCGGACTGCCTATAATTAATAACATTTTTTTTTTTTTAGAAATCTATCATTCATACCGGATTTTACTTTAATTTTTATAACTAATGTCAGATTTTATGATGAGCGTTAATAGTTTAAAATCTTTCTCTAGTAACCCATTGTTTTTTCTTTTTCCGAATAATGGGAATTATAGTAATATTTACTCTATTGAGTATTAAAAATATAATGAGAACCAAAAATACTCATCACAATAATAATTCTGAAGCAGGTGTATATAAAATAAACTGCCAGAACAGTTCCTCACAATACATTTGGGAAACTTGCAGAAATTAAAAAGAACGTATTTGGTGAACACAAAAGGGATCTAATATAGAACAATTAATCAAATGCATTAGTTACGCATAGGAACAATTTCAAACACAACTTTGATCTAAAGAATTCCACACTTATCAAAAGAGAAAGTAAGTTACTTAAAAGGAAATTCTCGGTAGTGCCGCTATCGAATCTTATCAAAATATAAATCTGCAGCCCGGATTTTTTCAATATATCCATTCCTGAAAGAATTTCTATTTTCCTAAGCCAAGATATATAACTACAAATATGTTAAAAAAAATAAATAAAAGTAAAACGGTTAGATCCATGACCTCATGTTATTTAAAAAATATAACACATAAATTAATCAAAAACTAAATTAATTTAAATACTAATTTGCATAAAAAATAAAAGAAAAATCTCTGTAATATCAATTATTCACTTTCGTTTATTTGACTTTCAATTAGATGTATCACCGCGTGTCCTTCATAGATTGCCTGATGTTTCAGCCAACCTAATGAATATTTATAAGCGTTACTAACTCAAAAATTTTGAAAAAGCAATAATATTTTGCTCCTGTACGTAAATATTTTATACATAACAAAATCTTTCCATTTGTCTTAATAAAGTCTCACAAAGTTTTCTCATTCTATATACACACACACACACACATATATATATATATATATATCACTTACAAATTTTACATGATTATATAAAGACGTGATCTTCTTACTGTCGTGTTAACATGCGGATACATTCACTGCAAACAAAAATATTTTTAGGTGACATGTGATAGATAGATAGATAGATAGATAGATAGATAGATCTAGAGACTGAGATAGATAGATAGATAGATAGATAGATAGATCTAGAGATTGAGATAGATAGATAGATAGATAGATAGATAGATGAATCTAGAGATTGAGATAGATGAATAGATGAATAGATAGATAGATAGATAGATAGATCTAGAGATTGAGATAGATAGATAGATAGATAGATAGATAGATAGATCTAGAGATTGAGATAGATAGATAGATAGATAGATAGATAGATAGATAGATAGATAGATCTAGAGATTGAGATAGATAGATAGATAGATAGATAGATAGATAGATAGATAGATAGATAGATAGATAGATCTAGAGATTGAGATAGATAGATAGATCTAGAGACTGAGATAGATAGATAGATAGATAGATCTAGAGATTGAGATAGATAGATAGATAGATAGATAGATAGATAGATAGATAGATGAATAGATCTAGAGAATTAGATTCAGTAACGATTCAGTAAAAACCAATGAAATGCATTACCCAGCGCCTCTCCCGGACCCACATTTACTATTTGCTCTATGTAAGCATTCAATAAGACGAATCTCAATGAGCGCAATTTCTTGCTCATGACACACCACGTTTAGCACGTAATTCCATGTCAGACTTCTTTTTACCATAATGCCACGTGACCTATTGGCATAACGATTTACCCTCTTCTGAAATTTCATCAATATCCACCTTTGATATCTTGAGCAAATTAATAAATCAGGAGATATTATTCATTCGAAAATTATAACATAAATATGTTATAAAATCACTACTAAAATAGCCATTTTGTTTCAGTACTTCTGGTGTCTTATCAAATGATGGTGTTTTTTTTTTCTACATTCAACACCATCACTTGATAAGACACCATAAGTGTTGAAAGAAAATGGCTATTTTTGTAGTGATTTTATAACATATTTATGTTATAATTTTCGAATAAATTATTATAATTGCTCTACTCTGTATTGAATACTGTTTGAGGAATAGTATTTTGGGGTTCTTGGAATTTATTCCGTATACACCAGTCCTGTAATAGGATATATATATATATATATACACAGAGACAAGCACGATGGAGTAATGGATAGAGCCGAGTTCGAATTCCAATCGAATCCATTACATTCACTTACGTGATAATACCCTTGGGAAAGATATGAATCCTCCACTTATACCTCCAGCTATGGTTAAATAGCAGGACAGGATGGCAACTGGTCTAGGTGAAGGCAAAACATGCGGAGGGTTGTTTCGGGACATTTGTAGCACGTTATGCACCAGGTCTCTGTATTCAGCCCTTCAAAAAGGATGTAGATGGTTCTGCACAAAACCTTCACCAGTATAACCAAATCTCATGTGCTGGTGTCGAGCTGCAGGTTCCTAGGAACTGACCCTCATACGTCCAATTCATACACACAAGACAAACTGTTTTATTTTTTTATATATATATATATATATATATATATATATATATATATATATATATATAGATATAGATAGATAGATAGAAAGCGAGAGAGATTGATAGATCAGTAACTTCGCATTCATTTTACAAATTATATTCAATATATGTAATATTCCTTCTTTTGTCAGTGATCTTTCACATCAAAATCTGTCATCTTTCTAAAGTATTCATACAGCCCTTATATATATATATATATATATATATATATATATATATATATATGGTAGTAGTAGTAGTAATACATAAAACCCCAAATTGCCTCATACTAACTACTATTTATTTTCTCTGCATAATAAACACATTGAGCTCTTTTTCAACATTGTATATTACTAGGATCGACTTGGATTATATACCAACGGATTTATTACCTTTAGTATAGATAGGTATATATATATATATGTGCGTGTGTGTGGGCATACACACAGATACATATATTTATATGCTCACCTTTACACCCATACATGCACGCACAAACACACACACACACACACATATATATATATATATATATATATATATATATATATTTATATATATATATATATATATATATATATATATAGAGAGAGAGAGAAAAGAGAGACAAAGGAATCGTCCGTTCAAAGGAGATAACATAACACCACCTGGCGTCGCGAATTCAAGTGAGATAACTAATGCAGTAAAATCTTGCATTACAAAAAAGCATTTGGCTCATTTTATAGAAAGATATCTATATTCCCCATTACTGATATATATATATATATATATATATATATATATATATATATATATATATATATATATATATATATGCGTGAGCCTGTGCGTTTGTGTGTACAGCAGAGAGATCGTGTCTACGTGATAAATGTATATGTATTTGATATCTATATGTTATATATAGATTTATTTTGAAACCTTTCTCGTGACCTAATAGCTCTTCCTTCTCCTCCCCACTCTCCTTCCCCAAATGACCTGGTCTATTAAATGTCTCCTGTAAGGCAAAAGAATAAATGAGCTAAAATTGCATGGTGTTTGATACATTTCAGGCAGTATATAATTTGGTTTTGAGGTTTCGGGAATTGACAATCATGTATGAAAGTAACAGTTCGAAATTGATGCCTGTCCATTTATCTGAAATAGAAATTGATGAGGAAGTAGAAGAAAAGTCTTTCTCAATGCATAAGAAGAATCATTTAAATCTTTCACCTACTTTCATGTTCTTCCATCCTTTCTCGCCGCCATATTAACGTTACTAGAATATTGGCTTGCTACTAGAACGTAAATAAATTATTCTTAAAGGAAAATTCAGAGCTCAATGGTAACAACAATTGTGGCCGAGCAGCCAATACTGCTGTACGGTTGAAATTTACGAAATCTTTCTATTAAAACAATTTTTCAGGAAAATAGATTTCTCAGGTTAAGTATTATCGAGCTTTCCAGTATTAACGGACATTTCCTTCCTAACATTTTGCCTGAAGTAATGTGGCATGTCAACATCATGACGAAAAAATAACACACACATATATATATATATATATATATATATATATATATATATATATATATATATAAATTGAAGATTTTAGCTCCTGTTTTTGAAACATGAAAACACTTATGTAGCGATGGAATCATATTTTTTATAAATAATTATATATATATATATATATATATATATATATATATATCCTGTTTTTTGAAACATGAGAACTTTTATGTAGCGATTTTAAAATTATGATTCCATCGCTACATAAGAGTTCTCATGTTTCAAAAACAGGAATTAAAAACTCATCGCTCTTCACTTACGTACTGAGCGCTCTTGGCTACTGGTGTTTGTATACATGTCGTATATATTATATTAAAAATTTCTCTTTCTCTGCCGTGAATAGTAGAATCTCTGACTGATGTCAAATCGGTCGAGTTTCGATCCCGGCTTGAAGCAATCGGATGTCTAGCCACACTGATGAGCTGTGATACACCGAAACAGGCTTGTATGTAGATGAAGATAGATAGATAGATAGATAGATAGATAGGGTGTAAATGTTAACAAGTTTGTTTCGCATGTTCAATTACGACTGAATAGTGAGTTCGATCCTCACTGGGTGACCCATACATTCTGCTTTGTATCATATCTATGTGGCATGACGTGTCCTTGCTGTGAAGCTTTCAACTGGCAGATAATAGGTAACCCTCACATCTGAGACCCTACACGCCGGATAAACCACCCTCATTCCTTTCGTATATCATTAGTGAGAAGAAAATGTTTTGGCGGGACTACCTTCTTTTGTCCCACCAGTTCAGACCTTTACAGCTAAGACCCGCCGTGTCATATACACAAAATCGAACCACCCCCAACACCCTCGTATTCCACTGAGAAGGAAGAGGTCCCATTTAGACAGCTTCTTTCCAAGATCACTACTTTGAGAAACTGACTCCCTAGAGAATGCTTACCGAGCTGCTACAATCTTAACCTCTTCACATCTAGAGTCAGTCGTTATCCATTTTTAACAACCTCATTCATTAGCCCTCTACGTTGAGTGGCATTTGCGCTTCATATAGGTTGACCATTAGTAAAAGAAAATACCAAAGTATATTCACCATTATTTATTATTAGATTCGATATCAATTGAGCAAAAATTTGAAGGCTATGGTGATTTTTATGGTTAGATGTGGCACACAGCCGAAAGCATGGGGCACCCAGGGAGGATCGAATTCACTATTTAGCCGTAACTGGTGTAGCGAGACAATCTTGCTAACCATTACACCACGCTGTAGTGCCCAATAGCTTAGATGTGGCACAAGGCTGAAAGTGTGGATCATTCAGTGAGGATCCAGCTCACTCCTCAGTCGCAATTGATGCACCAAGTCAAGCTTGCTAACGATTACACTACGTCAAAGTTCTTTAAATTCTGCAGGTTTTGATTTAAAAATAGTTTTCGACGAACTCTTCATTCTGTTTTTTTTTTTTTTTTTTTAAGTGAGAGAGAATGTTTTGCACATCAATGCATTTTGCAACGATCGAAAATGTAACACAGAGCAACCTCGGTTCTCGAACGTGACATATATCGATTTTCGAACAGAAAATTCAAGATGAAAATGCTTCGGTTATCGAACAAAATTTTGGATTTTGATGAACATTACCGAACCGAGCTGAACCGAGTTGACTCGAACGGAATCATTTCTGAGTCAACCGCCATGTTGTATACATCCGTGTGTCGTGCCGTGCTTTTCTTTACCAATGTAATTTTAGTGTGCTTTTTTCTTTATTTTTTTATTTATTTATTCATATTTATTTTATTTTTTTTTTGTAATGGGAAAAATGATTCGCTTCTCGAAGAATTCGACTTTAGGACTGACTATCAAAACAAATTATGATCGAGAACCTAGGTTGCTCTGTCATCGTTTCGTGCAAAATCGGGTGAATATGCCCTGTGGGGATGAACAGACTAACCAAAATCTAAATTTTTGTTCCTGTGTTAATTCATGCTGCATGTAATCTTGCGTTATCGGGAAAGTGAACAGCATTTTTCATATGAAAACGCAAAGGGTGCTTTTGGGATACGTTCCAGCTGGACGTCTAAATGTGTATTTATTGTTTCATTGCGTTTTAAGGACTCTAAATGAATAATACCCCGACATTCCCATTTTTTTTTCTATGTTACCCTTGCTGTATGTGGCCTTGTGTTTTCATGAAGGAGAAAAGTATTTTCCCTTCAGTCCGTTGTCTACGTTGCCACTGCTATTCAAAACCGAAGATATATTAGTGTACCCCAAATTTCATTCTTAATTGACACATTCTACTCCACCCGCCACATTCACCTGACCTTTCACCGACCGATTACTACTTTTTTCGACCGCTGCAAAACCCTTTAATGGCGAAAGCATTATCTAATTAAAAAAAAAAAAAAAAAAAAAAAACAACGATTAAATAATCGTCGAATGCTTTTTTTTTTCAGGTCAAAATTTCAAAAAGGTCAATATTTTTTTTCAGGTCAAAATTTCAAAAAGGTCAATATTTTTTTTCAGGTCAAAATCGGCGGAATTTTAGTCAAAAGGCTGATAAGTGAGAAGAAATCATTGCATGTACAGTGTGACCCGGATATAAGAGAGTTGTCTTATATCCGGGTTTCTCTTATATCCGGGTTTCTTTTATATCCGGGTTTCTCTTATATCCGGGTTTCTCTTATATCCGGGTTTGGTCTATTTTGTTTAGGTAAGTATGGGCTCTAATTTGGGACCAGAGAAAATATCTCTTATATCCGGGTTTCTCTTATATCCGGGTTTCTCTTATATCCGGGTTACACTGTAACCGTGAATACATAACTGAATTGGTCCAGTGGATGAAAGAACCGGTTGAATCCAGTGACTTCACCCAAGGGGTTGTGAGTTCAATACCTGGCTACAGCTGAGGTGAACAAAAACTTGGAAAGTTGAGTTAAAGGGGGATAACTGATAGTGAAACATGCAGAAGAGGCATGGCACGTGGAACTAGAACAATCTACCCCCCCCCGCTGGACGAAATAAAGGGTTAAGTCCGAAATTCCAATCAACTGAAGAGGGCCGAAGCGTATAACAGCCGAAATTTCGTGAATATGGCAACGAAGATGAGGCCAACAGTCCGAACAATGTAAATAGTATAAATAATATTATTGTATTTTTTATTTATTTTATTTATTCATTTATTTATTTGTAGAATAAATTTGATAAGCAGAAAAGAAAAGCGTGGCTCAGTTATTTATTCACAATTATTTGCAACAAGTCACTGCAAATAATGGCGAATAATATAAATTAATAAAATATAATTGCCATTTATTTTTTGTAGAATAAACTTGATAAACAAAAATGAAAATGATTTATGACTGGACTTAATATAATTTATTACAATTAATACGCCCATATATGTGTAGCTGTGTCTGTGTCTATCTGTTTGCACGCATACATGTATGTGTATGCTTGGTACTCATGCACACACTTGTACAAAAATAAAAAGATAGTTTATTCAATGGACAAATAGTATCGTTTAAAGTGTAAATAAAAGGTTACTAGGATGTGAATATACGGGAGATGTATTTTTTTTACCAAAATTTAACCAAATATAAGTTGTTTTTTTTTCTTTGTAAATTTTCTTGGTCATGGCAGAGGCGACCATTTTTCAATACTCACTCATATCATTGCATATATCTAGATTCGTATATAGAAGCAAGCATATATAAAATCTCAGATATAAATAAAAAATATATCTCTAAAAAGACAATATGAATGACTTTCACAGTTTGAATAATATTTATGAACGTTGTTAAATTTAAAAATTTACACATTTATTTATAAATAATTATTACAAAATAAAATGCTTATATTTGCCTTGATAACGTCCATCAGAGAACGAAACGCGTCAGTAAAGAAAAGATTTCCATTTGTTTTTATTCATCTATAAGGCTAAATATATGTTGGAAGTGGTCTGAAAAAGAATTCGAACGCTAATTTGCCAAGGAGGTAGACTTTCCACTTGGATGTTTGGCGCCACATGATCTTCTTGCCTCTTCGTTTCCGCAGTTTTACGTTGTTAAGTATAGTAGATATGTTAAGAGGTTTATTTTTGCCAACTTATTATATGCGTTGCCAGAGGAGGGAATCCAGCGAGGACTGCCTCTCTAGAAAATCATATAACCCGTAACCCCAGGTGAAAATGATGTGAATTAATTTTGGTATATAAAATTATACAAACCCCTTGCTGCCCCGCCACACAGAAATTCTCTGGTGACGAAGCTGGTGCGCTTGTGTGAGCTTCAATCTATGTATATCTGAAATATCTGTGTATCTGGCTTACTATGCATCTATAAATTCTACCTAATAACAGTATTTGAATTTCTTAGATATTCAAACAAAAAATGCTAAAATACAAACTGCATTATTTTATAATCAGTCAGTCATTCATCTGAATTAATTAAACTAATTGATTCAACGATTTGATTGCGATTAACTGGCCAATCAAGTAACACCGCTGACCCAACCAATGTTGCTCCCTCCCCATCGAAATTCTTATGCGTTATTCGAACAATTAATCGATATCGATTTCTTTATCTTATTACAAAATGCCTACATTTTTAAAAATCGTATTTACATATGTAAATGATATTTAGAAATATGCTCAACGGTATCTCCCCCTACACCAACACACAACGTTGCTTAAAAAGTCAATTACGTAATGAGCAGTAACTGCTATTCAAGCAGTTGTCCCGGAAAAGACATTTTGTTTTATCGGCAAATCTTTAGGCCTGCTCATTTTAATGCTTTTGTAGCAGTAGTTCAATTCAATTAAAATTTTCATACATTATTTCCGAGCTAACCTGATGTTTAATTCTTTTTTTTTAATTTGGCTGAAAAACCCATGCACACACACAGAGAAATATATATATATATATATATATATATATATATATATATATATATATATAGAGAGAGAGAGAGAGAGAGAGAGAGAGAGAGAGAGAGAGAGGAGAGAGAGAGAGAAGAGAGATGCACAACTGCATATATGTAAAATGAACATTAAATATAATAAAAATTCACACAGAATGTTTGCATTCAAAATGAACGTGATATATATATATATATATATATATATATATATATATATATATATATATGTGTGTGTGTGTGTGTGTGTGTGTGTGCATAAAACTTACAATTTGGTATATATAGTATCGATGCTTACTGACTGTTTTCGAAGAACAAACAGTGGTTATGAGCACGGGTGGACAGTAAATAATGAGTTTCAACAATGACAACAGCAATGCTTTCTTGCGGATGTTTTGTTCGTTATATAGATAGATAGATAGATAGATAGATAGATAGATAGATAGATAGATAGATAGATAGATATACATGCATACATACATACATAATTAATCCGACATTTTTATTGCATCAAACAATGTAATAGTGGATTGGTTACTCGTATGTAACTTGGAGTCTTATGCAGTTGCTGAGATCTTCAGGTGCAAATGGATTGCATTTGCACCTGAGTATTACAGCAACTGCGTGAAACTTCTAGTTGTGCTCGACGTTAGTTATTATGCATATTTGTAAATATATATATATATATATATATATATATATATATATATATATATATATATATATATGAGGGGTGTTTGTGCGTGTATGTGTTTTACAATTTTCGGATGTGTTAAGTGAATACTCAGCATATCCGAAAATTGTGCTTATAACAAAATATGAACTTCGAAAAGTTTATCCACAACATCGAGCAATTTAATCAAAACCTTATCCGAAAAATGGAAAAATATAATAAAAAAATTAAACAATGTTGTCTCTTTTTATATATATATATATATATATATATATATATATATATTCCTTTTCTGTTGCAACTAATGAAACTTGCGTAATACATGTTTATATACATATATATAATATGTATATATGAATATATGAATACATATATATATATATATATATATATAGATAGATAGATAGATTCATATATACATATTATATATATATACCCTTAGATATCCTTTTTGCACTTACGCACTAGTACAGACATGGTGATACAGTCACCCAACCCACATACCCTAAAACAAAGTCTTGTGTTATTATTAACTTGCACCAAATACTTTAGACTTTAATAAAATAACAATAGAATTGATGCTGATCAAGCGAATTAACGTTTTTTGTTAGCATAAAATTACTCGATATGTTTTACGCATATAAATATATATATATCAACAGGATAAGAGAAAATAAATGAATCCGTTCAGGCCAGATTTTTTTTTTCATATTATAGATTGTAGCCACCATGTCGATAAAAAGGATCCCCATAAGCACTTTTATAGATAGATAGATAGATAGATAGATAGATAGATAGATAGATAGATAGATAGATAGATAGATAGATAATAAACCATTTTTTTTATTCACAACTAGAGATGCAAAGTTTCTTTTTCTTCTGCATTTTTACAACACTTCATTTTCTATACCATAACAAAATAGAATTTACAATTTTGGGAGCTGATCCTCTTTTTTTTTTCTTTTTCGTACACTTTTTTCTTTTCTTTCGTTTTTTTTTTTTTGTCTAATAGCAACTATTGCAATGATGACTTAGATCAGAGAATTACTATCAAAAATACTATTTATCATAGGTGCATATTTTATATTTTAACTGGAACACATAGCAAATAAATAAAGCATAATTTGCAATTAGCAAGTTCACGTTATTAAAGTAATAAATATCACAAATATTTATTTATTGTTAAAGTAATTAATAGTTGTAGTAATTATGGCAGTATTTCTCATATGTCTGTCTTATTGACGCTTTTAAAAATAAGTTTTTGTTCTTACTCGGTATATTTGAGTTTTATTTAATTTTTTTTTCAATTACAAATGGAAGACCAATTTTTTATCTTAACATTTTTAATAGCAATATTCTTCTTATTATTATTATTATTATTATTTTCTTTGATTTCTGGCGTTTACACATTTCTTTCCGGGTCCCGTCCAGGGACCTAATGTTAGAAATGGCATCATGACACTTTCCACTGACAAAAAAATATATATATATATTACATAGATAAAGCCCTTCGTAAAGTGTGGGCTGTACTTGTCAGAACAATTTTTTGTATCTCCTTGAGGCATGGACTTCCATGGACTTTCTTCAATTAGTCTACTGCAATCTTTTCCAACCAGTTCTAGGGCTCCAACTACAACAGGGATTGTTGATGTTCCCATATGCCACATTATTATTATTATTATTATTATTATTATTATTATTATTATTATTATTATTATTATTATCAACATTTGTGTGTGTTATGTTTCCTGTACAGCCGGATCCAAACTATAGTCCTTTGGCCCTGTACGAGAATTGACATTTAATTGATAGCACTTTTCTTAGTATATGGGATGATCCTAATAGGACGATCTTCTAGGCGACTTGTATGTTGATATTACCTGGGAGTAAAATTGTCCATTCCTTTTCTCACGAGGCCCAGAACTACGATTACTATTGGTACAGTCCCAGTCTTTATTTTACTTTAATAATAATAATTATTATTATTATCATAATTATTATTATTGTTGTAGCTATTACTATTGCTTACCATTACTTTCTTTGTTACTATTTCTGTGACTAAAGATATTATTAATATTGTTCAAAGGCTATTATGACCATTATTTTCTTGCGTTCTTTCTTATTATACTATCGCCTATATAAGCATTATGGTTTTATCGTTTTATTACTATTGATTTATTATTATTATTATTATTATTATTTTTATTATTAGCACTTAGAGAAGAAAGCGACTAAAGTGAAAGAAAAAGAATAAAAAGGCATTATTTGAAAAGATGTTTCTTTTTTTCTTCTTTTGAATTGCATGCATTTGTAAGTGTTGAAAAATATTGAAAGAGTTAATTCACTCAATTTGTTTATTATTATTATTATTATTATTATCATCATAATTATTATTATTATCATTATCAGTAGTAGTAGCTATATTAGTGGGGTGGGGTGGTTTTAGGAGGAGGAGTAAAAACGCCATTACTAGTTGTAGCAGTTACGTTTTTGTTGCGTTGCATATCGATTTTCGTTCAATATGATCAATCGAGTGGTTCACGCACAATCAACACCCGAAGATTTACATATATTTGCTGCGACTGGTGGATGACATTTACCCCGCATTATGAACCGAATTGCATTTCAAGTCTTTACGATCGAATTTTCACCCTTATTTTACACAATTAAGTAGACGTCAGATGTTTATTGCTAATAACATTTTTCAAGAGAAGTGGTTGGCTGTGAGCAGGCGGCCATCTTGCAGCGGAAATCGTTGAAGGCGGAGGCTGGAGATGAAGAATGAGCAGCACTCGACTTCTCAGCAGTGAGAAACTGAAAGAAAATGCTGCCCGCCCGTCCCCCACCACCTCCACAAACGATTTGTGGTTCCTCCTCTTCAGACTCGAGTTCATTATTTGCCACTAAAATCGGTTAATAGACCGAATTATCGAAACGGAAATCGAAATGAAAGCAAATCTTAGATTTCAGCTGTTAATAATTTGTTGTTTTTTCTTTTCTTTTCTTTTTTACTTTTTTATAATGGAAATCATCATAGAACATTAACGGTTCTTGTTGCCTAAACTATCAATTTCATTATTTTTTTTTTGTCTCATCATAATACCAGTCATAAGAAACGTGTCAACGACTCCGAAGAAATTACCTGTAAATAATTGATACTTATTAAAATTAATTAAATAAATAAATAAACAAAAAAACAAAAGGGGAAAACATTCGATTATAGACAAAATTCATCTATATTTTCTTATCGTAAAAAATGAAATAGTTTTACCTATGAATTAAAATGATTTGATCATTGATATGCAATATATTTTTCTGACCGGGTTTATTTCCTATTATATTTAGATCAATTTTAATGTATGTCGACTCACCAAAAATAGATCGCTTCTCGAATCATGTGTCGATTTTAGCAGTTAATAAAAGCAGTAGCAAAAACTGCCTCCTTTAACATCTGAACTGCATTTGAATCACTTCATGGCGCACTTAAATAATCAGAACTTAAATTATGAACAAACGAACGGATACCATTATATATATATATATATATATATATATATATATATATATATATATATATATATATATATATATATATAAATTAGAGACCAGATCAGATATGAATTGGACACCGACAGAATGATAAGATAAACAACAAATAAGTAAGGCTTATCAATCTAACATGTTTCACTTTTACTAAATTTCCGTCAGAGATTGAGAAATTGTTTTTTTTTTTCAATTTCTAACGAAGCTTTTAATAAAATTCAAACATGTTAGATTAACAAACTTTTCCTATTTGTTCTTTATCTTATCATATATGTGTGTGTGTGTGTGAAAATGTGTATATATATATATATATATATATATATATATATATATATATATATATAATATATAAAAGTGAATATAGAAGTCTGCACTTATAGTCGAAAACCAGTGTCACAAACTCACGTTAATACAACTATATATATATATATATATATATATATATATATATATATATATATATATATATATATATAAAGGTAAAAAAATAGAATTACAATGATATCTTGCGATGTTCATGCTTAACATCGTGTGCATCACACACACACACACATACATACATACATATATATATATATATATATATATATATATATATATATATATATATATATATATATATAACAGGTTATATCTGAGAATTACAATGTTCCTTTGCGATGGACATACTTGAAATCAAGGTGGTTGCATCATATATATATATATATATATATATATATATATATATATATATATATATATATATATATATATTTTTGTGTTAATTAACAAAATTTATATTTGTATTAATTTTATATATATATGTGTGTGTGTGTGTGTGTAAATTTGCTATATTTATAGGAGCAAAATGCGCAATATTAAATATAGTATTTATAGATATAGATATAGACAAATGACATAGGGATCCACACTACATGGTGATTCTATATTTCAATGTATTTTAAAGATCAATTCCCACAACACCTTTAGTGGGTTCGATATTTAGCATATATTTAGCTTGATATATATTCTATGTTTATTTCTCTATCAAATATAGAGATTCAAAACTACTTAAAATCACATAAAAGCGTTTTAAGTCCCACTTACACATATCACTTTTCTATCGAATTACGGTCTGTCATTTCTCTCTTCATCGATATCTACTAATCAAGACAACACTGTACCACAAACACTGCAGAATTTTATGTAACATAGAAATCATTAATTGTCAGTGATTTTCTCATTAATCTTATTTGTTGATGATGTACTGTCAAC